TGATGACCTGTGCAGGGAGAAAGACGGGGAATGCGTCCCTGTTGGTTCTTCTGGACCTCTCAGTGACTTTTGATACCATCGACCATGGTATCCTTCTGGATAGGCTAGCGGGATTTGGAGCAGGAGGCACTGCTTTGCAGTGGTTCCATTCCTATCTCAATGGCCGATTCCAGAAGGTGGTGCTGGGGGACTATGGCTCTGCGCCATGGCAGCTATGCCATGGAGTACCGCAGGGGTCCATCTTGTCCCCCTTGCTATTCAACATCTACATGAAACCGCTGGGAGAGGTCATCAGGAGGTGTGGGCTGTGGAGTCATCAGTATGCTGATGATACCCAGCTCTACCTCTCTTTTTCAACTGATCCAGGTGAGGCAGTGGCTGTACTGAACCGGTGCCTGGCCGAGGTAATGTGCTGGATGAGGGCCAATAAACTGAAGCTCAATCCAGACAAGATGGAGGCCCTGTTGGTGGGTGGTTCGGGCTCTGAGGTAGGTGACTTGGACCTTGTCCTGAATGGGGTTGCACTCCCTCTTAGGGACAGGGTTCGCAGCTTGGAAGTGCTCCTCGGCCCAGAGCTATCGTTGGAAGCTCAGGTGACGGTGGTGGCGAGGAGTGCTTTCCTTCAGCTTCGGCTGATCCATCAGCTGCGTCCCTACCTGGAGAACGATTGCCTGGCGACAGTGACACATGCATTGGTTACTTCCCAACTGGACTTCTGTAATGCGCTCTACTTGGGGCTGCCCTTGAAGACAGTCTGGATACTTCAATTGGTGCAAAATAGAGCTGCCAGGTTGTTCTCATATAACCCCAGTTCTCTGTCAGCTTCACTGGCTTCCTATTGAAGTCCGGACCCAATTCAAGGTTATCACCTATAAAGCCCTCAACAGCCTGGGACCTGGATATCTAAAGGAACACTTGCGTCCATATTTGCCCTCCTGCCCCTTGAGATTGGCGGCAGAGGCCCTCCTCCGGGAATCCTCTGTGAAAGATATTAGGAGGGTGAGTACCCAGAGGAGGGTCTTCTCTGCGGAGGCGCCCCACTTATGGAATGCGCTCCCCAGAGAGGTCTGCCTGGCGCCATCATTATTTGTTTTTTGGCGCCAGGCCAAGACCTTTTTATTTAAGCAATATTTTAATAATCACTAATTTTATTTATTGGTTTTATAATTTTGTGCCAGGATGTTTCCAGATTTTATATATGTATGTATTTATATATATGTATTTATTTATAATGTTGAAAGCTTTCCTGAGGCTTATGCGAATGGGACGGCATACAAAAATTCCAAATAAGTAAGTAAGTAAGTAAGTAAGTAAATAAATAAATAAATAGGGGGTCTCTGCCCAGAAATGAAGCATGGTGTGCCCATGCTGGAACCCTGGTCCTCAGCCTCTGATTTGCCAGCCAGGGCAGGGCAGGGCAGGGCAGGGCAGGGCAGGGCAGGGCAGGGCAGGAAAGGAAAGGAAAGGAAAGGAAAGGAAAGGAAAGGAAAGGAAAGGAAAGGAAAGAGGCATTCTCTGTTTGCACAGGAGTGGCCTGTGGAAGAAGGGGTGGGTGAGAGATGACCCCCGTCCCTGCACGTGTTTTGCATAGAGAAGGTGCGTAGATTTTTCTGGGACTGCATGGTCTGGACTCTGGTGGGGCTCCCAGTGATTGAATGCAGTCTTGTAAATACGCCCACTAAAATAATTTCCCAGCCTGAGAAGAAGCTAGTAATCTGCATTTCTATGCTGGCTGCAGAGGAGGGTAATGTGGCTCTTAGCAGGCTAGAAAGAAACATTGCCTTCTACCTAGTTGATGAGGAAGGTAGCAGCCCCCCTCTGCAGCCAACTCAAAAATGAAGGATGCTGTTCTTTGTTACAGCTAAGGAAAGATTACTCAGCTCTACAACAGGGTGGCGTGCACTGTGGGTAAGTGCAAGGTCTTCTCTTGGGGCATAGGAATGGGCGTCATGAGTACAGGTTAGGTGACAAGTGGCTGGAGAACAGCACTTGTGAAAGGGACCTCGGGCTGCTGCTTGACTGCAGGCTAAACATGAGTCAGCAGTGTGATGCGGTGGTCAAGAGGACGAACACCACCCTTGGTCGCATAGCCAGAAGCGTGGCTTCCAGATCAAGAGAGGTATTACTATCGCTCTATATGACTCTGGAGCGCCCACAACTGGAATATTGTGTTCCTGAGGCTCCTTATTACTGAGGCTCCTTATTACAAGAGGGATATAGCCAGGTTGGAATCAGTGCAGCAAAGGGCCACCATGGTGGCTGGTTTGCAGGGTAAACCATCTGAGGAGAGACTGAGGGAGCTGGGTCTTTTCAGCCTTGAGAGGAGGAGACTCAGAGGGGACCGGTTAGTGACATGCAGGTATGTGAGGGGGTGCCATGCAGAGGTGGGTCATGTCCTTTTCTCCCCTGCAGAGGAGGGCAGGACGTGCTCCAACGGAGCAAAGCTCAGGGACCCAAGGTTCAGTTTGGATGCCAGGAAGCACTTCCTGACAGTTAGGACCTCGAGGGTGTGGAATGGGCTTCCACGGGAGGTGGTTGAGGCCCCCTCAGTGAGGGTGCTCAAAGATAGGCTGGACATGCACATGGTAGGCATGTCATGAGTGGAGCCGGCTGGAGCTGGGGGTCAGACTAGATGGCCCAGGAGACCCCTTCTGACTTGCTCTGTTTCTATGTTTCTACAGAATTGCTGGTCACCAGAATGACCAAGCAAGTTGTTAAGCACAAAGTTGATTTACTTTTTCTTTTAGAGCACCTACAGTTTTCCCACAGCACTTGGTGTGACCTGAAAATCTGGGGAATTGCTGAGTGGCTTGCTAGGATCTATCCACTCTCCTCTCATTTTGTTCTTATTTCTCATGTACTTTGTTCAAGCTTTGTACCAGAAAGGAAGATGCCTTCACAGCAGCTCATTCTAAGAAGGGGGTGCGTGTAACCTGGCTACAAACAGGAAGTCAGAAATGCCTTTTCCGTTCTGTTCAGCCCCCCAGATCAGGCTTCCAAGCAGAGGAGCCATTGCGCTTCCAATCAGAAGGCTTCGCTTGCTTTCTTAATGGGGTTTTTATTGCAGAATACATGCAGATGAAGAAATGGCTGGAAAGCATAGGAGAGTTACCAACGGAAGATCCCTTGTAAATCCCAAGGAGGAGGTATGAGTGCAGTGAAAAATGTCTGCAGGGGCCTCTGATGTAATTATTCCATTTTAATTGGATTTTACAATGGCAAAGCTACCCAATCGTAGTCCTACCCACCCACCCAAAAAAAAACAACCCCTCAGCATTTTCTCATTTGATTTTTGCTGGATGCCCACCCAACATGCAACCCAAATGCCAGAATCCAGATTCGAGGCACCCCAACTCCCATCAGTTGACTTCGAAGCTGGTCAACCCCTGAGCAACTGCAGGCTTTCCTAATGGAAGCAGCCCTTGACTGGGACACTCAGGCATCTTTCTGCGAGCACAAGGAGGCTTGTCTTTGTGCATTCTGCCTTCTATAGGATATCATTCTATTAAACGATAAACGATATTGGGCTCTGCTGGAGCATGATACAAGCCCTGTCCGTTCTTGTTGGGCTCTGCCTTAGATAGAACCCTACATTTATCACTTGAATTTTACTATGCATGCCATTCCACGGTATTCCTAGTTTTATTACCCTTAATTCAGCTTTCCTCAACCTTCTCCGATGGCTGGAGAAGATGAGGCACTGCAGTCCAACACACTTGGATTGGCTTCCAGTTCATCATTTCTACTAGTGAGGCAAAACCTGGAAGGCAAATATCACACCCCAAAAATGTGAAGGCCGTGAACTGTTTTTTACATTTTCCCAATATCCTACCGTTTTTTAAAAGAAAACTCCATGTGCTCTTTGTCAGAAATATTGCGTTACTGTTACCATTGAAATAATTTAAAATATTCCCTGCTGCTGACCTGTAAGTGACTTTACGAGCTTGTCCTGTTAGAAGATGATCTAATTTAACCAGACATTTATTGGCATTCCTTTATTTCTTTGGATAAATAGGTCAACCATGAATGAGAACAGGGTCAAATGCTGTGTGTAAGTGATGAAAATAAAGACTTATAAGATATTTATGCCCTACCCTTTTTCTAACTATGTACTACAACCCTCTTAATGCACTTTTTGTCTGCTAGTCTGGGTATCTGGTGAATAAATACTTTAAAGAGAGAAAGCTGGTCTACATGAGGCTGTTAATCCACTATCCCAACTTCTGGTTTCTGCAGAACTGAGATTCAACTGCTACATAAAGAGCACGTCCTCCCCTGTTTTCTGCTACATCACCTGCAGGGGCCACTGCAGTGCCATGGTGCAAAACCACTCAATTGGGCAGCACCGAAGTGGGGAAAAGTTTCTTTCACTATCACAATTAAATGCCTCATTTTCCCTTCTGTTAAAAAAAGCAGTGCCCTGAAAATACTGATTAGATACCAACGTGAAACTGGAGTTTTACGATAGTGTTTAAAGAGCCCCAAACCAAGGTAACTAGGGATTGAGGAGTGGCAACAAATGCCTCGTGTAGGAAAGCCCAGTGCGAACACTGCTCATGGGAGACTGCTGCTCAACGCCACAGAAGGAGCGTGGCTTCCTGGACAGGAGGCAGCGGCCACAGGCAAAAGGCAGCAGCCTGGGAGGAAGCTGCTCCAGGTCTGCTGTGAGATCGGTGACTGGCAGGGACTTTCTGTTGAACAAAACCACACTGAGGAGGGTCATCTCCTCCCTGCACCTTTCCTAGGCTACGCGCTTCAGTTCCTCTCTATGGACCAGACTGGACCCCGCAGGGCACTGGCATCTCAAGCAAGTTCCAGCCGTCAGGATGCTCTGGTGCCAAGTGCTTTGCCGCGGCGATGCAGTGACTGTAGAAGTGCCCCCCCCGTGGCCCCCCCCCCCCCGACCCAGCAGAGGCCCAGAATGTCTGTCTGTTGTCCACATTGAGCAACTAGTCCTAGCAGCCCCCCTCTCCACCCGGATCAGGCCTTCTCCCCAGCCAATGACTCTCCATTGCCCATTCCAGACAAAGCCACCCCAAGTGCTTTGCAGCACCACTGGAACCTGCTGCTGGGAAAATGCATTCCCACCTTCGCTTCTTGGAGAATTGCTGGTAAGTTCAGAGCGGGCGCCGAGGGGTGGAGGGCAGATGCCCACAGTGGCCAGCAGGCGAGAATAGACCCTAGTCCTGCGGCAGGCAGCTTTCAGGGCACACAGTGCACCCTTATCTCCTGCCATGTCATGCTTTGCCATTGCTCCTTGATCGGCTGGAATATTTGCAAACCCTGTTAAAATAAATCCTTGGAGCATGGGCACTTCTGCAGGCTGGGTTCATTCAAACCCCCACATCTTCATGGCTGCGAGAATAAAATGGCCTTTGTGTCTAATGCCCTGATCACCTGGCCATTCTCAGGAAGGCCACAGGGCGGAGGGGCTGGGCCCTGGATCTTGGCCCCAGGATCCAGCCACGGCTCCACCACCGGGCATTCATGCTAATAATACCAAGGTAAGCGACAGCAAGGCCTGCCTCCATGGCGTCACTGCCTTCTGCAGGGAGTTACATTCCGGGGTCCTAATGATCATGCAGGAGGTGCTGGGGACCAAGGTAGGGCAGTGGGTTAACGGTGGGTTGGCTTGGCACTTTGACTGCGAGGCACCGGCGTCTTTACACGTGCGCGCGCGCAAAAACAGCTGCTTGAGTGCCCGCAGTTCCCGTCTGCAGGGTGTCTTCACTGAGCATGAAGAAAGGAGGCAGGATCTTTCCTCCTCCTCCTCCTAATCCATCTTCTCCTGGTCCAGATCTCCCACGTCTGGCTCATCGGGAGGGCCGGACAGCCCGTGGAACATCACGTAGTGGGAGCTGCAGTACACAGGAGGTCTGTTGGGGTTGGAATAGGCCTGCTCTGGTTTGAGGGAGGCAAAGGGGTTGGCCCCACAGCCCACGATCAGGGTCTCCAGCTCAACCAGGATCTTGAGCGAATTCTTCAGTTCCTGTTCACTGGGAAGAAGAGGTGAGGAGTGTTGGTTGCACAGATGTCCTGGACTGACTTCAGGCCACGGAAGGCCCCGGTTTCATGCCATGGCTTCAGGTCGTGGGCCTGCTGAGCCTGATGCAGCAGGCGGCAGCTGCTGGGCTGCAGAAGCCTCTGGCAAATGCCAGTTAAAAGGAAGGCCCCGGCCGACGTCGCTTGTTGCCAGCCATCCACCCTGCTCCAGATGTGTGGAGCGACCCATCAGGCTGACACGCCGGGGGACCACCAGGCTCAGGAAGGGGCTGTAGCACTTCTGTAAAGCAAAACTATGGCGCACACCTCACAGGATGCTATTTGTGTCTTTAGCCCTTCCATGGCTGGGGTGTAGTCCTGCAGAAGAGCGCAGGGGCGGAAAGGACCAGCTATTCACTGCACAATTATTTGTTATTTGCTATGTATTGCTCCAGGGCTACAGACTGAGAGCGTCCTCTTTGGCTTAGACCTAAATTCAGGAGCGGTGCAAGCTGGATATGGCGAGACCAAGTGTGGGTGAGCAGGGCAGTGCCAGCTGCAGGTTTTTCAGGGTCCTTGGGCAGGACACCCCCACTGTCCCCAGCAGCCCCTGCTCCTCATCCTCCTCCTTTCATTGCTGGGCAGGCAAAGCAGCCAAGGGAACGGAGCACTATCTCCGCCGCCACCGCAGCTGCTGCGGCTGCTCCTCCTCCTCCTCCTCACCCCCATTGCCTGAGGCAGAGCCTGAGGCAGGGAACACGGGGGAGAGGAGGAGGAGGAACCACTCCAGGGGCTCTCGTCAAGCCCCCCCCCCCCAGAGTGAGGACCTCAGCACACACCCAACCGTGGCTGCCCATAACACTGCCCTTGCTGGGGAGAGGCAAGCCATGGTTTACCTGTACATGGTGAAGAGCGAGGGGATCTTGTAGTCTCGCAGGAGCAGCAAGGTGGGCAGCCAGCTCTCCATGAGGTTGTGGCAGGCATGAAACCCTATGGGGAAGAGGAAAGCAAAGGCTTGTCTGGGTCCAACGCGCAATTTCACTCACGTGTGCCTTTCCGTCAAGGGCTGGCCATCCCTCCCTCCAAATGCCCGCCCCTCCCCCCACTTCGGGCCACTCTCACCCTGCTGCAAATGCATAGCTACGACCCAACTCCTCTGCTACACCCGTGGTGCACTTTTCGTGGCAGAGGAGGCCACCAGGGGCAAGCAGCCCAGCGGGTTGGCTGCTCCCTCCTTTACCCGAGGCAGCGAGCCGGCCCGCGCCAGTTGCCGAGGAGCCAGGCAGGTGGAGGCCGTGCACCCACCCTGCCTGAGGACCCTGCGGGCGGCTCCCTTGCCTCTGTGCGAAGGCTGCTCTTGCACTCTTCTCAGCGTCGTGGCAAGTGTGACACTGGCTTGCAATGCACCGGGGGACCAGCGGAATCTCTGGGTGCCTGCAGACGGCTCTGGCCTGCTCATCACTCCAAGTCCTCTCTACCGCTGCAGCGAGAACTGCCCAGAAATCCTGGAGTCATCCAATCTGCAGTGGGCTCCATTCTCTGCAGGGTATTAGCCGCTCTGAGGACCAATTCTTGAGACGTGCCCAGTGCAGAGAGCCTTTGGGGTGATGTAGGAAGCACCCTCCCTTTGCTTAAAAATCTAGCATGCCGAGAGGCAGGTTCCTGCCTAGCCTTCTCCCTGACGTGTCTGTTTGATCATCCCATGCACTAGTCTATGAAGAGCGCCCTCCAGACAAGGACACCGGTTGGAGCTGCACCTGGCTTTCTGCGGGTGGCTCTGGAGGTCAGCAGCACAATGCTGTGACAGGAGGCGACGGGCCCCCAGCCTGGGCACAGTGCCAGCTGGCTCTTCCGTGCCTTGCCAGGGCAGGCGCTACTCCTGCCCCCTGCCCCCAACTCACACTTTGAAACCTAAATGGCGCTTGTGTCAACTCCACATGCCAATCATGCCTCCACCATGAAGAGACGGGCACTTGGCATGGTCCCAGGGGAACAGCGAAGGTCTTGCTGCTTATGCAGCTGTCAGCGTGGGGATGTCGAAAGAGCGCACCAGGGTGGAGTGACACCATGCCAAGTTCCGCTTAACCAGGGATGGGAAAGCCAGGGAGGGGAGAAGTTCATCCCCAGTGTGCAAAGCCTTCTGTGGCATTTCACGAGCTCGAGCTGAAGTGCCAAGGTCCCTGCACATATACAAGGGCATTTCTCTGCCGTGGCACTAATACCTTAACACATGCAGAATGTTATGGAGAGAGCCGAGGGGAGGTAGCCTTGTTCCAGGAGAGAACCCTCTTTGCATCGCCGCGGAATGCAAGAACAATCCCACATACTGTAGGCACATCGCAGGGGCCTTCATGGAACGTTTCGAGTTGCGTTCCTGTGCCCGGAGAGATTACTAGGGAAATGCTGGCCATTATAAGGGATGGAGTGTGCATGGTTTGAAAACTGCAAGTGGGCTTGTGCAAGATGAACCAGGGCCCCTTTAGGGCCTGCTCAAGCCCTCTGCAATGTAAAGAGTGGCGAGTCTTATTTTCAGATCACCTGGACAAGAGGAGCTGAGCTGTTCTTACACCCACTGCTTACTTCACCATGGCCTCTCCCTACCCAGCGAACACAACAGCCCTGCATTTTGAATTTTTAAAATCTCAAATCCTTTCTCTCCTGAGTATGAGGAATGTTATCAGTTCTGCTAAATTCCTATAAAAATCGGCTGAAATAAAATGATTAGCCAGCTGCACCAGCCAAATTCAATAGGTGCTGCTTTTCCCAGCATGGAGAGGCCATGCAGCCGTTCAAGAAGAGGAACCACCTGAGGAAAAAAAGGTGGCACCACTGGCAACATACTCAAGGATGAACCATCCGACCCATTTCAGTTCTTCGCATCTTTGAAAGAGGCTTAAACCTCACATTTTTTGGTCCTGGAGATGGAGAAATTGCATAGCTTGATCCATGAGCTGAAATGTGACTTTCACGCATCCCTAATCAGTCCCAGCATCCAACTTTCTGCAGAGCGCAGCCAGTTGGCTTCAGGAAGCTGACATGAGCCAGTCATGAAGTCATGCGCCGTTTCTTGCAGCTTCTCCCCAGAACAGGTAATCAGAGGCAGACCTGTGCTGTGGGACAGGTGCAGGCTCCAGGGGACCATCGTGCCTCTAGCCTGAGATGGACCTGTCCTCCATGAATCTGAGGAATCCCACCTAGGCACACGGCCATCAACCCCACAATAAACGGGCCAGCACCCTCCCCTTCCCCCTGCTCACAAGAATGCTCACAAGAACATGAGTGGGACTAGAACTGATGCACATTTTGAAATAATTACTACCGTGTAAATGGAGAAAGAGTATATCTCATAACAGTGTGGAAGAACAGGGTCGGGCAAAGCGGGTGCCTCGCCAGCCCTGCTGTGTGGGTGCTCACATGGAGCGGCTACTTCAAGGCCCCTGAGAAAAGTGATGAGCTATAAAGCTATGAGAGTTCTCTAGCTTTAAACTGGACTTGACCTGGAAAGCCCTTCAAAGAGAGGACTGCCCTCCGTCAAAAAGAGCATGTGCCCCCTCAAATGATGTTCAAAAACGTCATTTCGCATTCTGACCACTGGCCATGCTGGGAGGGGCTAGTGTTACATCCACGCCCTGTGGCATCCGACCCTGCAGGGTTCATGGACCCTCATGCGTGGCTCTCACCCAGAGAGTGAGCTGAGCCAAGAGGAACTCAGCAAACACACGGAATGAACCTTGCCTGTGGCGGCGCCCTTCCTCCATATCACATTCAGCAGCATGAAGAAAGCCCGCCACCTGTGAAGTGGAAGAGGGACACCTCTTGTGTCGCAGCTGTGCAGAGCCTGATTCTTGGAGAACCTTGGACACATCCACCAGGAACTCGGGCTCACGGCTGTGCTGGAGCGGACTGGAATCCAGGGAGCTGAGGCCAGGGAAGCCAACAGATGCCCCCCCCCCCAAATGACGTCCTCACACGGTTGCAGTCCGAGGCCCCTGGAGGACAAGGAGAGCTCAGCCCTGCCTTGACCAGCAGGCCTCACGGGTGGCTTTCCCGCAACTGAGCCCACCATAGGGGGTGGGCCTGCTTCTCCCCACAAGCAGCCTTCCAGGGGTGTCACCTCGGAATCGGGATCTCATCTGGAAGAAGAGGCAAGGTCGGAATCCTTGGCTGAAATGTCGAGCCAGCAGGCCCGGTATAAGCCAAGAGGCCAGTGAAACGCCACTGAAATGGCAGAACCAGACAAGGCAGGTGTAATGTGATCAGTCTGGCAGCAAATGAAAGAGCAGAGCACCTGCGCAGCATCCTGCATTCCTGCCGTCTGGCCCACGAGTGCAGGAACTTCCCTGAGGATGGAGTTGACTCCTTTTGGCTGGGAAGCAGGGAGAGGGATCCAGTGTGGAACCCACTTCTTTGCATTCAGTCATGCTGATCCCTAGGATTCTAACTCCACGGATGTTTTATTGCGAAAGACCTCTGCCAAGCTCCTTTTGATATCACAGCGCCAGCCTACCTGGTCAGTTAGACATTATAAAGACTGCAGTTCGAGGCTTCTTGCCTTGATCTGCTTGGAAGGAGAAGTGGGGAGACCAGCCTTGGACATCCACTTCAGGTACTGGGCTTTGGCTTGGGAACCCCCCCCCCCAACACCTCCTGCACGTAAATGATTTGCCCACATGGCAATGCAGCACAACACAGTGATGTGTGGAACGGCCCTCAGGACACAACCAGGCTGTGTTTTGAGGCTGAGCATTTAATGACTCCCTGCAGCTGCTTCACACTGAACCAGCTCATTAGCCATAGGTATGCTAACGAGCAACACTGATAAACCCTGTCAGTATCCCTCAGATCTCTCCTGCTCAGCCTAATCCCAGCAAGGATGCCTGCTGACAGCAGCGGACAGCTGACGGGACTTTGCATGGCCGCCCTCCGGACAGCTGGGCATCGCCGCCCGCCAGTAAAGAGGGGTCCCTCGAGTGCGCTGCTGGGGAGGCCTCTAGGAACCGGCAGCGCCCGCGAGTGAGTGGGTCAGCCGAATCCCAGGAAGGGGTGGCAAGCTACCACAACGCCTCTCATACCTGTAAAGGCACGGCCCAAATTACGCATTCCAAGGATGCCCCTGGCAGTTCTGAGTGTCCCCATTCAGGAATAATGGCAAAATGTGGGCCGTGATACATCAGCCACCTGTGAACTTCCAGATGTGTTGGACTCCAAATCCTGGTATTCCCCTGCCTAGAAGATTTTGACTGCAGGACCAGTTCCTTGAGCATGAGAAGTGGTTCTGGAGACGGTGTGCACAGCCAGTAAGAGATTCTCTCCCTGGGGAGGTGATCAAGTCTGTCCCATCTATCATGCATCAGGCCCAAAGTCTTTGAAGGAGGAACCACGGTGACTTCAGGCCACTTAATAGCAGGGGCATCTCCAATCAATTTTCTGGACTTGTTTCTCATGCAACACCATAAGTTTTGTGGGGCGGGGACCTATCTTCCTGAACTTATTAAAGGGCCACCTACATAAATAAGAACATTGGTATTGCTGTCTGAAAAGTTTCCTCTTTTGGAGAACTCAAGGCATGGAGGGTCAGTGAATGCGCAGGGCCAAGAATAGAGACCCTGGCCTTTAAATCCAGCCAATGAACTATGGGGCGGCTCGTCACCCATCACAGAGCAATGGGAAGCACAAGCAAAATTCTCGGGGCTCCCTTGCTCTTGCAGGTTCACGACTTCCCTGGAGAATAGTCTTTGCCTGTCTTTTTGACAGAGCATTTCCATGGAAGAGATTTGGGATCTGGAATGTTTCCAAGCACTCAGAGAGGGTGAAGTGCTTTAAATGTGTTAATCTGGGTTTATTTGTTTGCCCCCAAGACACCCACTATGCCCCAAGATGCTTGAGGAGGGAGGGGTCCAATTTGGGTGGGCAGGGGAGAGGGGGCTTTCAGAAGGGTCCAATTACTATAAAAAGGTTGCATCTGTTTTCTCTGTGCGGAGCAGCTCTTCCAAACTGGGAAGAGGATTGCAGAGCACATTCCCCGCCTGCAGAAGTCTCTGGTCCAACTCCCTGGCATCTCTTGTTAAACAGATCAGGTAGCTGATGTTGCAATAGATCTCTAGTTTGTTTCTGGCAGGCTGGGCCCAGATTAATTTATTCTGGGCTAGATAAACAAACCATTGGACTTGATATGAAACAGCTTCCTGTGTTCCTAACAAACCTGAGAGACAGTGCAGGAAGGAGTATGGGAAGAAGTTCCTTCTCCTGGAGCCGAGAGGAGGAGGACTGCCTCCAGACCCTCGACGATGCACCCTGAAAGGCTGGGCGTGGGTCGAGCGGGAGCCATCATTGAACCACGGGTGGCTGTTGAAAGGCAGATTGTTGTGCTGCCTGAACAAAGCCATGATAACAAGCAAGGGTCTGTTAACCACAATCCACCCATAGTTCACAGCTCAAAGACAAAGCATGTGTTTGCTTCACAGGTAGTTGGTGTTAACTAACCATGGCTTGTAATTGTGGCTGAATTCTAACAACAGAACAAGCTATGTTTTGTCAACAACCCACAGGTCAACAGCAACCCACGCTCAGCTCCTGAGTATGAGTTATTGTGTGGTCTGAACCAAGCCAGCACTTTCTGAATATGGCATGGTTTCTGGCTGACCACTCCAGCTGCGATGAGCTACGTAAATTTGTCTGCTGGCGGGCTCAGTTCTCCGGCAGATAAAATGCTTGCTCTCTCCGTAGCCCTTCGCTGCATTCCATTGCCAGTAGGTCAGAGGCAGATTTAGGAAGGATCCTAGCACACACGGCCATAAACAGGGTTTCTTGGACGTAGGCTCACACATTCCTGCTCGGTGTCCTGTGATTAGGAAAGAGCAGCTCCAGAGAGCCCCGGAGCTTTGCAGACCATTAGTAATGGAAGTGCAGCTGGGCTTCCCCGCCGGAATCATTGCTTTCCCTGCAGAAGCCTTAGGTCCCATTCCAGGGATCTCGGAGCAGGGCTGGGAAAGACCCCAGGCCGAAATGTGGACAGCCGCCACAGGTCAGCTGTGGGCCACTTGTTCAGGCCAAGGCCAAGGGCACGTTTTGCCATTTAAGAAGCTGTCCTGTGCACCAGCACACAATGGCTGCCATGGGAAGCATGACAAAGAACAAGTCACCCACCCCCAAAGACTGAGCTCGAGGCAAAACTGGGTGTGAGCCCCAAAACATAAAGCAGCACCTTTGAGCCCACAATGTTCCTCCCAGTCTTTCCATTTAAATCAGCCCTTTAGTTAGAAACATGAGGACTGGAATCTTGCTTTAACATGAGATGGGTAGTTGCTCAGAAGCAGAATACCTGCTTAGCCTGCAGGAGGCCTCAAATTCAATCCAGACATCAGTTAACAGTCCTGAGCTGGATGAACTAATGCCCTGCTTTGGGATATCATCATCATCCAAATTTATACCCCCCCTTATCCACCTGAAAAGGCGTTCAAGGCAGTTTCATGTATATTCCTATATATTTTACCCCACTTGTAATTTGTGAACACTTTCTTGTTGGTAAATTCCTGCCTTGCTCTCTGCTTATGCTCTGAAGATAGGCAACCCTACCCTTGTTGGTTCAAGTTAGTTTGGTGATACCATTTCAGCCAGAAAGTGAAGATGTGGAAGCACAGGGCAAAAAAGAATACACTTTCGGATTGAGTAAAATAATGGGGATGGAGTAGACACTCCGAGAGACACAGATTATGGGCAGCAGGGAAAGTATCTTGCTTTGGGGAGCAAGGCCAGTGGCTGCCTGGTTTGGATCTTTGTCTGAACTGGAAAACAAAGGTGCTTCAGACACCTTCACGCCTAATTCATGATACCGCCTAAATACCTTTTCTTGCATTACTGACACAATCATCCCTCTCCAGTTGCAAAGCAGGAGGAGAATCTGAGTCGAGGCAGACAGAAGTGCGCCGTGGGTGCTGGGTGATCTCTTCCCAGTGCCCAAGCTGGTCTAGGGAGTGTCCAGCTTGGGGGGCTGTGCTGGCCCCCCTCAGAGCCAACCTTCCCATCAGCCAGTCACCTCAGGCAGCTGGTTTTCAGGCTCATGAAAGGCCGGTGACTGCAGATTTTCTTTATCCTCCGCTTGCTGCCAAGGGCAGGGAGAGGAGGCTGCAGGATCCGGCTGGCCTTGGGCACTCTGACTGGGAGGAGGGCTCCCATGTGCCGGTCTTCTCTGGGGCTAGGCAGAGGGTCAGTGACTGGCCATGGCCGACCTGCAAAGGAGAAGGGCAGGGGCACCGGGAGCAGCACTTGTCCTGCTCTTCAGAGGGACCCAGTGGAAGGGCCGTCAGGAGGCAGCCCTCGGCTTGCGGGTGGGTGGCAGGCTGGCTTTTGGGGACACCCTCCGCCTGAGGGGCTGCCCTGTCTGTGAAAGCACGCTTGGCCAGCAGCGGGCCCGGTTACGTGGCCACAGCCCCCGCTTCCAGAAGGGCAACGTTGCGTCTTTCTGGATGTGGCATTGTGCATATCAACCCATTTATGCAGAACGTGTCCGCTTTGGGTGTGAGTGATGCTTACTCGTAAGTGGCGCGCTTCCAGGCTGGCCTAGCAACGCATCACGGCCGGTCAACCTGGGCTTTACCCAGGCGAGCACGTCTGCTCTGGCTTGGTCCGCCTCCTTCGTGCTTCCTCTGTGGCACGGACGCCTTGCTTTGAACCCGGGCTTGCCTGCATCCGTTGCTTTTATGCGTCCGCAGCATCTGGCAAGGCGCTCGGGGCAGCAGATGCGGGCTGATGCGGGCGACACGCGCTTCAGAGTAACGCTGGGGAGGAGCTGGTGCTGAGGGACACGGTGCACCTTGCGCTCAGAAGCAGGCTCTGGGGATCGCCGCAGGCCACGCCGCGGGGCAGAGGTAGCTATTCCTCCCATCTCCTGCCCCCCCCCAGCAGTAAAGCACACGTGCGCATGGGGGGGGGGGCCCTCTGGCACGACCTACCTGGGTGGAAGCCAACCACGATGTCAGGCCGGGCAGCCTGCTGCATCTCCACGAGGGACTCCCAGAAGTCGTGATAAAGGCCCTTGTAGCTGCTGAGGTAGACCCTTTCCCGGGGCCCGAAGGCCACCAGGGGCGGCCTCATGATGGCCCCGTCCACCACATCAACGCCCACCATCACCACCTCGATGCCTTGGTGCTTCGGGAACATGCGCGACAGCTCGTCGTAGTCCGTCGCACGAGCATTGAGGGTCTCCACATGGGACGCCCCGACCACATGCACCGTGATCGGCTTGGCAAAGGGGTCGAGCTGGAAGGCGCATATGCCCAGGCCGATGGTGGCCGGCCGGGACACGAAGTCTGTTGTCACCCGCTTGACCGACTCTATCAGCTCCGGCTCGTCCGGCTTCGGCTTCCCCGCATTGGCCCAAAGGATGCTCATGTAACGGCCAGCCAGGATAGAGCTCAGCTTCTCGTCCAGCTGCTCCTGCATCGAGAACCAGTCATCCCAGCCTTTCACATCCTGGATTCGCTTTGTCCAGGAGCCCGTGGGGAATGGGATGTCACCTGCAGGGGGAGTGACAACAAGAAGCAGCTCTCTGGGCACTGCCCCCCCCCAACACATATGCTTTGCTTGCTTCTGGCAGGCTCTGAAGAGGTTCCAGGGGCCAAAGACAAGGCCTCTAGATCCTAGAACCCATCAAGCTCCACAGAGGACAAAAGAGGAGAGATTTGTATAACATTTGCACCTCCAGTTTATGGGTATGGATACAACTCTGGAAAGAGCGCCCATCCTGAATCTGACCTGAACCTACCTGGACACCATTATTGACAGCTGTGTGCTGCCCGCCTTCAAGTGCCGCCTCTGAGGGAAACCCGAAAGATGGCAACAAGGGAGCAGGGCCTTCTCAGTGGTGCCCCCATCACAGAATCATAGAATAGTAGAGTTGGAAGGGGCCATGGAGACCATCAGGTCCAACCCCGTGATACTGCAGGACACCAGGTCACACCATCCCACTCAAAGGGCTGTCCAGGTTCTTTTCCACTGTCTCTAGTGTGGGACAGCCCACTGCCTTGCTAGGCAGATGGTTCCACTGTCATGTTGCTCTGACAGCTAGGAAACTTTTCCTGATATCTAGCCTGAATCTAGGTTGTTGCAGCTTGAATTGATTATTTCGTGTCCTACACTCTGGTATCAGTGAGAAGAGACCTTCCTTTTTGTGACAGTCTTTGGGGTACTTATACAATTGTGAATGGGTTTAACGTTTTATATACACTGGGAAAAAACACACATACGCCAGGCATTGTATCATGCTTGTGGTCTGTGCTTCTCTGTACTGTTTGGAATTACCCAGAGAGCTTTGGCTACTGAGTGGCATAGAAATGAAATAAATCATAATGAATTTATTTCATTTCTTTTAAATAGAAATACAGCGCATCTCACTGTCGTGGGGACACCCGTGGCCCATGTGCCTGCTTCCTCTGATGTCTGAATCTGATGGTGAATGGGCAACTTCAAGGCTCTTCCTTCCCCGAATTCTTTAGCTTTCAACCAGCCGTGGCTTGCACAGCGCTCAGAGAAAGCAGGGGTGGAGAAGGGCCAACTTCAGTGAACCTCTTGGGGGCCCCCTTCCAGGGACTGAAGGCAAAATTGGTGGAGCCAATATACTAAAAATAATAACATCTTTTAATTTACAATTCTAATAGCCAGTGACTAAGTCTCATTTTCATCTTTAAGATTGGGGAGGAAACGGAGCAGATGCAGGAAAGTTGGGAGATCATAAAGGGAGTGACGGGGAAAAGGATAAGCAGCCCTTTGACTGGCTCTGCCATCCAGAGGTTCCCTGCCCCTGAACTAGGGACTGTCTTCTAAGAAAGAGCCACCTTCTGCCGGCAGCAGTATCCTCCTGGAAAGCAGGACGCAGGTCACCCGAGCCCTACCTGTGAATACGAGCCACTCCACGAGTCGGTCAATGGCCACCAGCTTCAGCTTCCTGCAGAACTTTTTGTGCATGGGCCAGTTGACCCGCTGGCACCCTGAGCCGCAGTAGTAGACGTTCTGGCACCTGGAAGGAGGAGAGCAGCACCACCGGACCACAGGGTCGCCACGTCCGCAAAGGAAGCAGCTTTGGTCACTGCTAGGTCCACACACACAGCCCACCCCGAGCTACAGTTCTGTGCAGCAATATCTGAGCTGCAACGTTGTGTAGTAACACACTTGGCCACAATATTTGGGCAGAACAATAAAGCGGATTGTGGCTGCTCCCTGCTGGGGCTGAATACTCAAGGTGGCCACTGGCCTGCGTCTACACTGGCTTCTGCTGTAGCCGGTAGAGGCACCCTCTAAAAACGACATATGCTTTTCCCCACTTGTAACTATCGTGTTGGTCATGTGTACCTTCATTTGATTAATTATTTTAGGAAACGCTGTTGATGGAATAACTTTCTACTCGTGTGTTTTTTACCTTTTGCATCTCCTCAGGCTTTTGGGATCAGGCAGAGATTCTGGAAGTTTCTTGCACTCAGTACAGAACTTGAACGTGTCCTCCATTTTCTGGAACATCTCAAAATAGGATCGTATACCAAAATCTGGGCAGAGTTGCTTGCCCTCCATGGCAGACCTGTATGGAAGCAGCCCCCGCAAAAGAGATGGATGAAGACGGGGTTCCTGTCCTAACTCTGGCTGAGAATGGTCCCAGTGACCAGGTCAGTCCTCTAGAAATGTTCAAGAGAGCGGCACCGAGAGAACGGTGACTGTGGGAAGGGATACCTCTGGTATTTGGGAAGCAGCACGTTTCCATAAATGCCTGTGTGCCGTGCAGCGGGGTTTTCTAGTGGGCTCCCTCAAGTGTGCACTGGCCCAGCAAAGTGGCAAGTGGCGTGGCGGGCTACTCCAGCCACTCATTTTACCAGCCCTCCTGATCCTTTCTTACCCCCACTCACCACCCCACACCAAGCCAGCTCTTGCATCTAGTTTTCCTAACTGTTGATGATTGATCAGGGATTATCGTTAGATCCTGTGCTTGCCAGACAGCATCTGACAATGTGAAGGCAAAGATCAGCAAGAGTTCTTTCAAAAACAAAGCTAGAAAACACACAAGAGCAGCAGGTATATTCAGGTGCTGGAATATTCACTCGTTATGCGACTAGGCTGCCCTGGTTTATTTGCTTATTAAATGGTGAGCAGGTTTGTTCAACAAATTAGCACTGTTGACTTAACACTGAGTGATGAGATGGATTCCTGAATCACCCATCCCAGATCAATGTCACAGGTAGAACTTGGAGATGTAGAAACATAGAAGCAAAGCAAGTCAGAAGGGTCTCCTGGGCCATCTAGTCTGACCCCCGGCTCCAGTCAGCTCCATTCCTATAATCCCCACCATGTGGTTGTCCAATCTTTCCTTGAACACCCTCACCGATGGGGTCTCAACCACCTGCCTTGGAAGCCATCCCATCTGACTCGCAGCCTTCTGTTTCCTGCTTGTTGGAGCAGGACAACATCTTGTGTGCAGCTGATTAAGAACAACACCCCCGTTTGCAAGGTGTGTTTGCCAGCGGGGCTCACCTGTACTCATCGTAGCTCTTCATGTTGAGCTTTTGAAGAATGACCTGGGACAAGCCAGGAACGTTGCTGTCCATTGCCTGGAAACCCAGGGAGTCCATGTTGGGCCCCGTAACAACTGGGGCCTCCCTGGGCTTGTTCTTGGAACGGCGGGCTTTGGAAGCTGCTGCCTGGTTCTTCTGGGCCATCTATGGTGGAGCTGGAGGAGGGAGCCGGAATAACAACAGTGTCAAGGAAAGAGGTGACACAGGGCCCCACAGCACTCTTTGAAAGGGAAGGAAGGCAAGCACCGGCGTTCCGCTGTTCCCTCTGCCCTAGAGAACTGTTCCACTGTTCCCTCTGCCCCCCCCATTTGAAAGACCTTCAGAGGAATTTCCGCTATTGAACAGTGTTCCCTGTTTGAAGGTCTGTTCAAAGAGAAAGAATCAGAAGAGAAGCAAAGGGCCTTGATGTTGCCTGTCTGCAGGCAGCACCTGGAGAGCCGACTGAGCAGTGGCATAAGACTCATCCGCTTCCCATCTTCCCGATCCTCATCATTGTATTTCTATTTAGTTTGTAATGGTAATTTCTAAATTAACGTGTATGCATTTAGATTAGCACATACACATTCTATCATATTTGCATTTGCTGTATGTCTTTAATGAAGCAGCAGACAATTTACTGAACTGGTGTGATGTTAAAGGAATGTCCATGAACATCCCAACTGCTCCGGGGACAAAGCTGTCTGTGGCAAAATGTTCATCTTCCAGCTTCAGGGAGAAAGCAATGCTCTCATTGCATCTGGGCTGATTAAAACCAGTTGCAGGCCCTGTGTCCGAAAAGTGAGGCATGCTAAGGATTGGAGACATGGCTGGGAAGAGATAGGAAAGTAGGGAGCGGAAGGAGGAAAAAACGGGTAAGGCAGGGTAACCGAAGGCAGAGTGCACGCTGGCTTGAGCTACGGGGAAGCAGGGCTTGACTGCTTTCAGTGGGTGAGGTGAAACAGCAGGACGGCTTTGCTGGCTCAGTTGGGCTGGATGATGGTGAAATAATAGGAGCAGGAGAATTCTTATAGGTCAAGTTTAAAAAGATGCATCTTAACCAATTCAGAGAGGGGGCTGCTTGTAGCTCCCAGGGGATGAATTCCGCATTTTGGGATTGGGGGTCAAGTGGGCATCTGCGAAGGGTGGTATCCATAAAGTGGTCTTTCCTGAAGACCTTGGTAATCAGATATTTTCATAGTAAGCTAGGCAGTCTCTTGGAGTGCAATCATAAGCATGCATGGAAGAACAATTCCCAGCATTCCCCAGCCAGCAAGGGAGTGTTCCAAGTTTTCTGTCCACACATGCACTAGGGCAAAATGTCTTTCTACACACATTATAGGAATTTTTTCAAAACTTGCACTTATGTATATAAATTGGCATGTGCATATCTATGCAAGTCAGTGCTCTCTTATCCTCTTTGGGTTTTTGATGATGCATTCCTTCTTTTTTGGCCAATATATAAATGTCCCTAAGTCCTTTGGGGTTTCAAAGTTTAAAAACAACACTCTGAATCAAACTGGGTCAACAGCTGGTGACCAGTGCAAGTCATTCAGCTCTGCCTCACCCAAACCCGTTTCCCACCTGCTTCTTTTCTGCTTCTATTAGGCTCACTTTCACACTGCGCATGTAGCTCTTGCATTGTATACTGCTATTTTGTTCTGTGAATGGGCTAAAGGCAGTGACAGAAAGAGAGCCTCTCCATGTGGTAAAGAGAACAATTCGACATTTGACAGCCCCAGAGGAACTGTATAACTGGGATCAAGCGCTCCTGCCGACCCCAGCCCTTCAGGTGTAATACATGGCCAGTTTGGTGCGGGATGCAGAAGCTTGCCTCCATGCGCATTCTTCCCACTCCCCTTTTTATGGCTCCAACCAGACACGGAATGTTCACAAGGCCAAACGAGCCTGCCCAAGGTTAGCTGAGAAGACATTCTCCACCGGCTAACAGGTCTGCCTCATCTCTTATGTGCCTGCACCTGCTCACATAAATCGTCCCTTTACGTGATAGCCCGGGGCAGGGATCTGCAAGGCATGTGACTTTCTGACAGCCAAAAAGCTCGGGTCCTATCAAAACTGATATCCACTTGATAGCATGCCTTTCAGCTGGTGGTTTATCAGCCTGTTTTAAGGGGACTCCCAGCTGACAGGCACAACTTGAATGGCAGCCATTGGGGGGCTTAATCAGAGGCAAGGCTGAGTTCGGGACCCTGCTTTCAAGTTTAGTTCAGGATGTCTCTGAGCATGCACGGGTGCTGCTCCTACACAAATAGGGGTAAGTTAACTGGACAAGCAGCCCATCTGGGCCATGGCAGCGGCAAGGGAAGTGCCTCGTGGACTCCACTGTGCCCTGGGCCCATTTTGCCTGGCGCAGCCGGCTCGTTGAGTGTTATTTAGCCCAGGAGTTGCAGCATATCGGGCAACCCCTGACTGGGCCAGCTGGGAATTGGCCCACGTTGGCTGAACCCAGTCATTATCGATTATTGAAAGGTTAAACAACCCTTTGCTTAAGCCACAATTTGCAGTAGGCGTTAAGTCTGACCTTCAAACTGGGTTTGCATGACATGGGGCAGAGCCCAGTCGCCCAGTCAGGGCTTGCATAATCCAAATGCTGGCCAGTGTGCCTGGCATACACTGCAGGCCATCCTGGGTGAAATAATCCATGAAGAGCTAGCCCTGCGGTGTGAACCAACCCACTGTTGAGTTGTGCATCACAGCAGCTAGCAGGACTGACCAGAGTCTTGCTTTCGCTAAGCAGGGGAAAGCAACTCGCATCCACGGTCTCTCACTGGCCTGGTTTTCAGGTAGCATTAACCCATGATTAATTTAAAGCATGGTTTCCTGCCCAACTCGGAGTTCATGTGGTAGAGCAAACTAGTTTGTTTTCTCAGACACTGGGGATTGGTTGTCTCCCCCTCTTTTTTCACATGCTCCCTCTCTGTATCCTAAAACCCTTTGTGGTTTTGTAGTACTGTACCCTAAATGCATCATAAATAACAGGGTGCCAGAATTCAGTATCCAGAGCCCAGTGTTTTTGAGGCCCACAGCTAGAATTGTCTTTATTTGTATGGATGGTCCAGACAGCTAAGCACTCTGGCTGCTGTCACCATGTCAGATAGATATATCTGCCTATATATAGATATGCCGTATATATGCATATATCTGTGTGCTCATTGTATATATTTTCTAGTCAACGGAGAACTTTTCTAGTAAACTCCCAGGTTGCTTCTGGCCAGAGGCTTCTTTCTTCAGCTGCTTTCCAAGCAACCACAAAGCCTATCACAAGCCAGGAGGGGCCATTCAGCAACCAGGAGCCACCAGCCTTCAGCAGGGACAGTGCGAAGAGACAGACCAGACCAGCCCTCCAGCCCTTTCATCTGGAGCCCCCGGGATCTGGGAGACCCTCTGCCCACTGTTCTGCTGTCCGTGGCACTTGCTGGAACGCAGGTCCCCTGGATGAGCTGGCCTCGTGCCCACAGCTGCTTTGCACCCTCTTGCTGCCTGAGCGTGTGTGAGTGTGTGTGTGCATGTGTGTGCGGGGGAGGTTTCTGAAATCCAGTGCCTGTCTCTCTCCAGGCCATACATCGCTTTCTACAAGTAGGGAAGTCAGGCTCCTTTTCAGACACACACACACGCGCGCGCGCGCGCGCGCGCGCAGTGGGAGGGAGGGCGAGAGGGAGAATCTTGACAGCAGATATAAAGCAGTGTGCACAGATGTGTGCCTGCCCTATTCCGCTCCGTTCGCCCTGCAGGCCTGCGTTCCGGCTTGTGCTTGGTCATTGATACTCATTCTGAGTACAGACCGCCTTGCCTCCTGTACTCACAGTCATAAAATATCTTATCTTAAGGCCTTCAGCTAAAGCAGGACGCAGAGGGAAAGAGTTGCCCCCCCCCCACTTTGCATAGCCACCAATCTTGTGGTCTATACACTGAGCAGAAGGTGATGACAAGAGCTTTGTCAGAAAGCACCAGGGCAAAGCCCCTTGCTTAATTAAACAGCCGGTGGCATTTCAAGAGGCACGGGACAAAGGAGTGGCTTTGGGCATCGGCTCCGAGCGATGCCACAGGAGCCGTTTTTCTCTGTCAAGTAAGAGAGGGAAATGGAGGGGGAGAAACCCTGACTGCATGATGGGTAAACAGGCCAGTGCCAGAGCAGTAATGCTGAACAGCCACAGGAAAGAAAATAAACCTGCTTATCATGATGAGAGAGTGCATCGCCTTCACGTGATGGCCACTTAGCCCTGGTGGAACAGCAGGCTGAAAAGCCCATGCTTGGAGCTCAGCAACTGCGGGTTTTATAAGCCCTCTTCTGTAGCCACCTGCAAGCAGCGACTGGCGCAGAACAGCCCCACCCAGGTGCATTTTAGAGTTTCAGGTTAGAATTGGAATGAATCTGCAAGGCACATGCACCTTGCAATTCCAAAGCTGCCAGCTTCCCTGAGGCTTCCAGATACCAGAGGCTCAAAACGATCAAGGACCACTTAGAGAGTGAGATGCTGCCAGAAGAGCTGCATGGGATGTGGAGGACTGTGTGGAACCAAATCCACGAGGAACTGCTTTGGCCTTTCAGTAGAAACAAGGTCCGGGCAGGATCTCGGAAGACTGCGATGGCACCATCGAGGAAAGAGGCATTGCAGAAGAGCTTCGAGTGAGTTGGCGAGAGGGTCTTGGGCTCTGAAGACCCGTCCCACTTCCAGGAGGGGTGTCACACCCCAGGGACAGGGCTGCACAGTCCGGAGAGGAGAGATCACCAGGGACAGAGCGTGCATTGGAAGCGCCTGGGTGCTGTAGGAGGACAGCTTCACTGTGGCTCGGAGGCCACTTCTCTCCCTGCCCCGTCACCACCAGGCCCGGTGCCATGGTCGCAGTGCCAGATCCAGGTTTCGGGAGGCCATGGCGAGACGCCTTCGGGGGCCTCTTCTGGAACGGGCCTGCTGTCTCAGGGGCATGGTCCCCAGGGGATCTCTTCCTCCTCCTCGCCTCATGGCTGCCACGCTTGAGAGGCAGAGAGCCAGGGGGTGGGGGCACCGCCACAGCTGTCGCTCCCCCTTCTCATTGCCACCGTGCGCTGAACGAGTCAGAATGAGGGGCGGCTGGACGGGCAAAGAAGAGGGCTCTCTCCCCAGGGCTCTTCTCAGTGGGACCCTGCTGATGCGAGGACCTTTGGCAGGTGCCCACTGGATGCTGGCCTTGAGTGGTAGGGTGGCCATCCCGCTTACTTCCCAGATGACAGTCCCCCCTTTAGAGGCCTGTCAGAGGGAGATCCTCTAGTGAAAGGGCTGCCAGTTGCTTGCCAGTTCAGTCCCCCGTTCTCTCCTCAACGGGACCACCAGGGGCTGATGGCAAAGCTTGTTCTCCGCTGGAGCCCTCAGGGAGCTGCGATCTGCCAAAGTGACTTGCACTGGGCACGATGGGCCGTTCCTCTGACCTGCTAGAATCGGCTTCCTACATACACATCTAAAGAAGTGAGTGCGTGTCCATGGCAGAGGGCCTCCCAAAAAAGCAGACATTTGCATATGTTGAGTTGCATGCACTTTAAGGTCGCTGTGCACACGTCTTTAAAGGAGCCTGTCTCCTCAGGACACCCCTGCTTGTAAAAGGAAAAAAGACGCATGCACAAGGCAAAAGAGGACATTTTTCAGAAAAGGGCAAAAGAGGATTTTTGCAGAAAAGAGTTCTCAGGGGAGAGCAGGGGGTGAAGCCTGTGTTGGCAGAAATCCAGTAAATCCAGGGATCTGATGCAACAGAGATCTTGCTGCCTTTGTTTCAACACATGCCCAGGGGCATGTGCAGGGTAGTGGGACGAGGCCTCCCAGAGATCCAGCGCCCCAAACAATAGATCAGGGCTTTGGCCCCAAGTAGCCACCTGCCCCCATGTGCCCCCTCACACTCAGAGCAGGAGTCCAGCCCAGCGGGTTCTCCTCATGCAGCTGAGGAGCCGTCTGGGCCAAAGCATGATCCCGGATGCTGGCCTGGTGCAGATCAAGTGAGGGGAAGACATGCCCAGCATGCAAAAGGAGGGCCACTGAGACTTGCTGAACAGGAAACCCCGCACTTGAGATGACGAGGAGGAGGCAAACAATGGAGAAAAGCCACGAAAGATTGGAACGTGGGTGTGGAAGGGTGCAGGGGGGGAACCCAAATGCCAGAAAGCCAGGTGATGCAAAGTATTTCGCCAACACGGACGAGATAGAGCTGCTCATTCAGCCCAGTGCCACCGCCTCGGGAGCCAGCCCATTTGCTGGGACAACTTGGCAGAGGCTGCGGAACAGAGGCAGGGAACAGCGAGCTGAGCCGAGGGACCCCTTTCCCTGTGACTGCCTTGGAGCCTGGCCTGTCGCCCCAGTCCCCCTCCCAGCTTTGCCCTCCTTAAAAACACCCCTGCTTCCCTCCAAGGAGTTCATAATGCAAGACGACACTTCATGGATCCAAGAGGGAGGCTCGTGCCAACTCAGACTTATGGCACAACAAGTATTTTAAGGTGCTCTTTTGCTGGAACAAGCGAGCAGGACTAGCCTTTGGGGTTTTCCCGTTCTTCCCCTCATAAATCCCTGGTAATGACATCTCACTTTAATAATAGATCCTCAACAGACCTGCAATATGTGAATCTATTATTACAGCAAGATGACATTAGCAGGGGTTTAGGAGGGGGGGCAGCCCTGTACCCTCCTTTGGCCTTCTCTCCACTACCATTTTTCTCCAAAGGGAAATGAGACTATGTTTATTCAAGAGAGTAAGGAAAACTCTAGTTTTGTAAGCCGAAATGTTGTACATGTGTCTGTATATGTATAGTCAAAGAACTTAGACATCAAAATGATCAGATCCTTTCGGATTATCGCTATCTGTCTAGCAAAATATGTGTATGTATGACCCCATACATAAAACCAACATGGCTGTTGGAAAGGGCTGCACCTTTTTGCTTTCAAAAAGATGCAACTTATGCAAGCAGGAGGTTTGCGACCCACACTCTGGGTGTAACTATGTATTTCTGGTAGCCACTAATACTTGCACCTGGGTGTAGCTGAAAGGGACCCAAAGAAATCACGTTGCAAGCTAAGCAAGCCTAGATCTAGCCAGAGCTTGGAGGGAGACCACCTGGGAATCCCATGCAGCCATTCTGAATTCCTCAGTGGAAAAAGAGAGGATAAAGTGAATAAAATTGGTATAGCTGCACATTAAGAAACAATTGCTATAATTTAAATAGAAACATATCTCAGCACAGTCGTTATGAACGGGACTTATGGATCTGGTCAGCTGGCTGGCTGTGTGCTAACTTCAAGGTCCCAGAGCTCTCCCTTACGAGAGTTTTTTCTCTTAAACTGGACTGCCCTTCAAAGAGAGAATGCCTTGAAGCCAGAGTGTATCCTCTGTAAAGTAGGACACACGGCCACTCAACTCACACATAAGCTTGGAGACAGAAGAGTAAGATGGCGACATTTGTTTCTCTATTTGCCCCTCTTATATGCTGCATAATAACTATGTTAAACAAAAGAAAAGCCATTTCCCAAACGCCTTTTCATATAAGGACACGCAGTAAGAATGCCTGAATCCACAGAATGGTAGAGGACAAGGTCCATTAACAGATGAGTTTTCCTATTAAATATTATGATTGTAATTTCTACTGAAGCACCTGTAATTGTCTAAACACTGCACAGATATTAAAAGATAAAGCAGTCTCTGCCTGCAGGCTCACAATCTAATAGGCATAATACAAACAGAAGACAGAAAGAGAGGGGAGAGGAAAGTAAACACTGGACCAGTTGCATGCTCACCAGCCAATGGGTAAGGCCAGGTGGCAGTGATGTTCTGTCTGGAAGGTATGGCTGCAATTTCCTAGTGCCTCTAATGAATTATGATAAAGAAATTCTACATTAAGCTCTTTTGCATCCAGTCCAACCATTGGCACATCCCATTTTCTCCGACTTCGTGCATTTACATACATCTGCATCACAGCTAAGGTGTATCACCCCACATAGTACTTATAGGGGAACGCATAAGTACGCTTGCAGAAGGCTTAAAGGGCATGTGCGACAGCTCTCCAAAGGGCAAAAATTAGGGAGTAGATATTTCTCTCGGAGATGGAGCAGAATTATAGGGACAGGGCTGTTTGGAATGTAGAGAAAGCTAAAAATAGATTGGGGTTGCCCATTGCCTTAAGGAAGCTAGAGAGAAGGTTAGCTGGCAGTAGAGATCGGAAGGAGTTATGGAGATAAGCAAGGAATGTTCTGTCAGTATTATTCATCACACCAGGTCTGGAAAGCTAGTTTGGAGAAAGCCAGTGCAGGTCAGCCAGTGCCTAAGAAGCTATAAATCAAGTCCAGGTAGCAGAAGAGCAGACTCACCGGTGTGATACCTGAGTTCCCTTCTGCTGGGCAGGATTCTCTGTGAACAACAGAAGCTGCCTCTTGAAATACTCTGGAAATGCAGGAAGTCTAAGAAGGGCTTGACCTACAGTTGCCCTGCTGGAGCTCCAGGTCTCAATGAGAAAGGACTCCTACCACTGGACAGGAGGTAGTGTGAGTCCCTGAACCCAGCCCTCTTTCCCAACAGCCCCAAAGTTTGGGTCAGGATTGTAATGGGCCCTCTGCCCCCAAGAGGAAAGGAGAAGACACTACAAGAAACCCTTTGCCACTGCTCTGCCTTTCGCAGCTGCAGCTTCCCATCCAGAGAAAGGAAATGATCGTGATGATCTGGCTTTCAGGCATAGCCAGCCCTACCAAGAAGCAAAGTGCCGTGGCAGGCTCAGCACTGGGGCGGCGGCGGCGGCAGCCCCCCCTCCTTGCCCCCCCCATGGATGATGTTGGACTGCACAGTTAATTCCACATGGGTAGAGGCAGCGTAAATGTGTGGGGTGGGGGCATCCATAAACCCATAGGCTACACTGTTCTATATAGCAAATATTTCTCTCTCACCCTGCTGCAGGTTCTTGGGTAGTTCGGGGAGCTTATTATGTTCAGCACTCTGGGAAGAGGAGGCAGGGGATCCAGCGGTCGTCCATTTGTTACTTCTCTAACTGGTTCAATGGATAAAGAGCTGTTACTTTTTATTAAGAGCACCATGGAATACGTTCACTTTAGTCAGTGCCCTGAAATGCAAGAACTGTTCTCGCGGTTCCTGTACAGCCAGTTCTGCGCATCCCCGCGGGCACTGTTCATCATTCATTCACTCTGGGAGCAGCTTCAGCACGGACATATTTCTGTGCTCCCCCCGCCCCGCACGAGGTACGCTACCATTCTCGTTTCTGCTGAGATGACAATATTTAACACCAAAGGACTGTGAATGCAAAACCTGTCACAGTAGCAGCAGTGCTAGGATCAGAACTGCACCGAACAATTTGAAAACACCCCCCCTTTGGCACCTGTGTCCCAATAGCAGCATTGCCCAGGGTGGGAGTTCCTTACAAATGATCAAGCTAGAACTTCAGGTTCAGGTTCAGCTTCCATAATATTTTGAGGGGAGACCACCTATCAATTTAGCTGAGGAGGAAAGGCAAGTGAGGGAAGGGTGACAAGATATAGAAATATGTGTGCCCAGAAGCACCGTTGGACACAGGAAAGGGGTGATTTGGATCTAGAATGTTCTCTACTGACAGCAGCTCAGTCCACAAACACATGAAGCAAGAAGGAAAGACTTCTGAGAATATGCAGCGTTCATTTTCTTGTTCCTCACTGGGAAGTAACTGATGCGTCTTCAGTTTATGGGTACAGTTTCCAGGACTCAGGATTCAGCCTTAAGATTCAGGATATTGGTTTATTCCAATAGACATCCAGGAGAAGGAATAAAATCTCGAAGGAAGGATCTAGATCAGGGGTGTCCAAACTTTTTCCAAGGAGGGCCAGATTTGGTGAGGTGAAAATGTGTGGGGGCCGACCATTCAACCTGACATTCTTTGAACCATTAACATTAAATGCAAATGAACTATTTTATGAAAGACTAAGCAAATAACTTAACTGCACTAATGTGAAGGGTGATACTGAGATCTCGACTGCATTATATAGGCCAGGTCTGGCTCAAAAACAGTGGTTTTGATGCGCAAGATGTCACGCAGGTGAAAGTCACTTAGTCTCGTCCTCACACAGTTCTTGTTAATGTTCATAACAGAGAATGCCTTCTCGCACAAGTATGTCGAACCAAACAAGCTCAGCATTTTCTTAGCAAATGTTCGAATCTCTTAGAACCTGTCTTCATCCAGCTGGCGGTAAAAGTTGACAAGAGGGAGCTGTTGGTGCTGACTGTGACACTCAGCGTCACACTGCAGCTCAATGAGCTCCAGCTGTAGGTGGTCTGGAGCGTCATCAGGGTCCACAGAGAAAGGAGATGAAAAAAGCGTGATCTCCTTTTCAATAGCTGCAAAATCCTGAAACTCTGGCTGTTGAAACTCCTCAGCCAGAGATGAGATGTCTGCTTCATACCTCCTTATTTGCGCACTCATATTGTTCTGTGGAAAACTGGTCATTATTTCCTGCAGCGATGGGAAATGTGTGGTATTGGGCTGCGTTTGTGACAGGTGCCTTTGGAAAAGTAGCACCTTGGTCCCCAAGGCTTTGATATGTGAATACAGTTGGCTTACCACTGCATTTTGCCCCTGAAGGCTCGTGTTCAGCACGTTCAGATGTCGTGTTATGTCAACTAAAAATCCAAAATCAGCCAGCTAAACAGGATCAGATAGCTCTGGCATCGGTTGTTCCTTTTTTGCCAAGAATTGTCCGATTTCCTCCCTAAGAGAGTAGAAGCGCTGCAGTGCAGACACCCGATTAAGCCATCTTATTGTGATACACAACTTCTCCGTATTCAGCCTGGATGTCAAGTAAAAACTGTTGAAACTGGCAGTGGCACAGGGCTTTGGAGCGAATATAATTAATAGCCTTCATCACCGGTTTCATAACATGATTGTATTTCAGATGTTTGGCACAGAGAACTTGTTGGTGAACAATACAGTGGAGTTTTATAGCTTTGCCTCCTTCTTCGCTGACTTTGTTACAGACTAGGGTTGATAATCCACTTCGCTCGCCAGCCATGGCAGGTGCGCCATCCGTAATAATCCCAGTGACTTTATTCCACGGTAGTTTCATGTCATCTACGGCGGAACAAACAGAAACAAATAAATCTGTTCCTCTTGTTTGGTCCTTAAGGCTCTGGAGGTCAAGTAGCTCTTCACTCACGTTCATGTCATTGTCCACTCCTCTCAAAAAATTCAATAACTGAGCGGTGTCAGATGCATCTGTGCATTCGTCGCAGGCTAACGGAAAAAAGTCAGACTCCACTCCTTTTGCCTCTAACTGTCTCTTATTATCAGATGAAACGTCTTCAATTCTCCGTACCACAGTGTTGCGAGCCAGGCACACACTGGCAAACTCTTGCTTCTTCTCAGGACAAATTTTCTCCACCATTTTCATCACGCAGTCTTTAATAAATTCACCCTCAGTAAAAGGTTTGCAGTGCTTGGCAATCAGCATTGCCACCTCGTAGCTCGCCTTTGTGGCATTTTCATTTGACTCACTGGCTCTTGTGAAAAAGCGCTGCTGTGCCATTAAAGCAGCTTCCAGTTCCTTCCATTTTTCACCGCGTTCGTTCCTAGTTAGCTTGTTGTAGTTAGCATGTTTCATCTGGTAATGCCTCTTGATATTGAATTCCTTGAAAACAGCCACAGTCTCTTGGCAAATTAGGCAGACACGGTTGTTTCGTATTTCAGTGAAAAAATACTCCAATTTCCACTTGTCCTGGAAGCGGCGGCGCTCACTGTCAACTTTCCCTTTTTTAGTTACAGTCGCCATTTTAGAAATGGGCGCACAAGCCTTGTGCCACAAGGGTAACGCGGCGGCAAGAGTGCTGACTCAGGCCTTCTGCCATCTTCTGGTGAAATACAACCACCAACCTTGAAGGAGCAGGAGGCAGCAGGGAACAGCTGTGGGAACCACTGTGCGGTGAAGGGGAAAATGCCAGCTGGTGGGGACGAGTGGCAGGCTGAGCCGGCGGGGAGAAAAGGCTGCGGGCTGCCCGAAATTTGAAAACGGGCTGCAATTGGCCCCCGGGCCGGACTTTGGACATGCCTGATCTAGATGATAGACTCATAGTAGAGTTCTGGAAGAGACGGGAAGGCCATCAGGCCCAGTGCAGGACACCAAGTTACACCATCACTCTCAGATGGCTGTCCAATCTTGACTCATGGGATGGCACCCCATTTTCTGCCTACTGGGGCCATTTTAAATTTTGCCCTCATGTTTACCAGGTCTTCCCTTGAGCTTTCAGTAGTGGATTTTCCATCATTTGGTTCCCCTCCCCCCCTTGAACAGCCCTTCCAACTTTGGGTCTCCTGTTAGGGTTGGGCTATGCGAAAATGGCTATTGCCAGCCTGCAAAGATCACTAGTTGGGGGATAATGAGTTAAAGCCGGCGTTCCCAACCTGGTGGCCTTCAGAGACATTTGGACCACAAATCCCAGAATTCCCATCCAGCAGGGTCCTTGACTGGGAATTCTTGGTGTTGCAGTCGAAATATCTCAGGAAGGCACAAGGTTGGAAAAGACTGAGTTAGAGTTTAACAAGATCAAAGATGCAAAGTGGGAAAAGTCAGCCTTGTGGGAACACCGACTGGTGTTTTCAGACAAGGCATTTAGTTTGCAATTGCCCTGCATCATATGTAGAAATTTATGGAGAATCCAGATAACAGTTTTTGCATCTTCAACCCTCCTGTGTTTTCCCACACCTGTATGATCTTCCTTATTCTTCCCACAAACTATCTATTAAGTGGCTGTGGAGGGGGGGGGGAACACACAGAATAGCTTCACAAACGTTTTGATTGGTAGCACTAGGAGCTGTCTCTCCTGAGGATCCCCTGCCTTTAAACATGCTATTATGTATCACTTAACTTTATGAAGATACTTGTGAGTATAATGCAAGACTGGAATAAGCCTCAATGAGCTCAGTGGGACTTATTACTGTTCAGGATTGAATTTTGCATGCATGCTATTCTTTCTCCATCACTTTTACTCCTTTTATATCATCTCCATCAGATTGTGGTCCGATGCTTAGAGGCTGCGTGGAAATTTTTCTGTGCAAATAAGAGCTATAAAAGTCCTAATAGATATTTGCCCCCTTTCCAACCGCGAAGGGCCCATAAGGCAGTGCAGAAACAATAAAGAGAAAAGCCCATTCCATAAATGGAAAGACTCCAAAACTCAGCTTGATCTGACCCAAACTCATGGAGGGTGCGATCGGAGGGGAGTTTATGGGGGAAAGTCCTGCAACCCGCCGATGGTTGGGAAATGCTGGGAGCTGCAGGCCTTTCTTCAGTCTAAACGGACATAGGACTGAACCCGTCATGTCCTCCTGGCTCACTCTCTGCAGTTCTTCCGCCCGCCACATCATCGGATGGCGCGTTGAACAGGCACAATCCGATGCACCTGGAGTGGGGAGCAGAGTCCTGCGACGCACCTGTGGCTGAAGG